ACACTTTCGTAGCGAGTGCGTGCGTGCGTGCGTGCGTGCGTGCGTGCGTGCGTTATGCGGCGGAAGCGTATGTTCGATTAGTGTTGTTCGTTTGATTTTCGTGGAATGAGCGACGCAAGCGTGGTGAGGAACAATAGTGGCCGTTCCTTGAGTGTGTCTTTTTCAACCCTCGACCGCGGTGATTACCGTTCTTCGAGGAAAATAAAAAGGTGGAAATTGTATATATATATATTATATATATATTATATAATATATATATGCGTTGCTGAGGAAATGGCGAGCGGAACAGACTTAGTGTAAAACGATTTTCTTTCCCTCGCCGTCTCGTCAGCAACGAATGGCACTTAGTCGTGTTCCATTTTTAACGCGGTGCGATATTAGAAGTAGATCGGAAGAGATTGTTTGTTGAGAGAGAAATTGTTATCATTGTGGTCGAAGGTTCGGAGAAACGGATCTAGCGCGAGGTATAGAAAAGTTAGAGGAACGACGCGAGGCCGCTAATAACGGGCAGGTGAAAAAATTGGTGAGAAGGTCACGGGAGAAACGCGAGCAAAACGAGAAAATGAAAAAAAAGATTTATCGATAAAATAATAGAGAACGTCGTATACGACGAAACGCTAACGCCGCCACCTGTTTTTTCGCTTCTCTCGCCAGTGTACACACACAGAGGGGTTCGCGTCCGGGAGACGCCGGCGAACCGTTTCCGGTCGCGAATCCCCTTTCCTCAGGAGCTAAACGGCCGCGTTTGCGTAGTGCGACCGTTCCGCGCAGGAGAATGCAACACACGTACATACACACGATATACATACACATACATATACACAGACACACAGAGAGACAGACACGATGTACACGCATTACTAGACAGGAGACACCAACATAGAGCGGCACACAGAAAACGCGAAGCGTGAATGTCGGCAAGATATGTTGAAGATGAAGAAGAAAAGGAAAAAATTAATAATAATATTAATAATAATAATAAAGAATCTGAGAAACCGAGACGTCAGGTATATAAATGTATGTACGAGAGAACAAGGAATACGATCAACTCGAACTTTAGTTTGCAAAATAACTGATAGGAGTACACACGAGGTGTCGTTCAGGAACACCTTTATCATTGTCTGATTTGATGATATTTTGTAAGTCTGGACCAGTTGTTAGGTTCTTATTACTCCCATAGCGACTTCTTATGGCGTATTTTCTCTGTATATTGTCAATGTTTATTATTAAATATTTTTCAAATAAAATTACCGTGTACGCCTCTCGTCATTCAACACCCGACGCTGAAACAACGCACCGTGCTTGACGCGGAAAAACACGATCTTGGGAACCGAAACTCGATCGAGGAATAAAAGGAGGAAACAGTCTACTCCAAGATGTTTCCCTTATGTTATCCTATTAACTAAACTTCTAACTATTCTACTAATTAAAGGAAACCGGAAATGATGCTAATATACTCTCATCATCCCCTTAAATTACTATACAATAGCTTTGGCCCACTTGAATCAGCGTCGAACGACTGCCTGCTCCTTTCGCTGCACGTTCCTCAGACTTTTCTCCTTCAACCCTTACGACAATCACGATAAATATTTCTTTATTTCGATTGTTATATTCTCCCACGTGCGTTGCCCTTTCGAAGGAACGTGTTCCGATGAAAGCAGCCACGGCTAAGATCGAAGGAATCCGCTTTTCTAGGACAGGCTCGTAGTTCCAGTGAAAGAAGACATCACAGTGAAGCCTGAACTTTTTTTCCGAGCACTGAGTCATCGCGCACATGGAATTATCATTCGCTCTCTGTTCGACATTCGGCCTCTCATCTGTCAGTAGTCCGCGGACCGTCAACCGGGAAAGACGCGTGCTCGGCTTTCCCGTCGGTCGTAACGCACGTGCGTGGTCACGCGTGATCTTACGAGTCGAACAAGTGGTTCCCACCCTCTCAGACTTCGCATCGTGACCGACGTTGCACCCTTGAGCACCGTGCACGCTCAAAAAACATTTCCCTCGACAGTTCGAAGGAAAACGAGCTGCATCCCATAAACAATCGTCGCTTCGACGGAAGAAAGCATTCGTATCGATTTCCACGAGTCGCCAACGTTGTTTACGAGTGGAAATTCACAAATTTTCCTTCTTCCGTGACTGTTTTAAACCGTTACGCAATGAGCTAGAAGAATGTGTTCCGAGTGCAAGTGCAGCTTAAATCGAATCTTCGCCGCGGTGATCCCGATGCATCCATCAATTCAAATGTCGCGATTATAGAAAGGTAACCGAACGATCCGAATCATCGAACGGGAATGAAAGTCCGATGGTAGGGGCAATTCCATTTGGAATAATAAATCGATTAGACGTTTGATTTGCTGAAAGGTAACATTTCAATGTCCAATTTCACCGTTCGATCGAGCCGCAATGCACGCGCATAATCTGTCGAATTAATTCCAATCGAACAAAACATAAATCACTTCGACACCTAACATTGTGACAAGAGAATTTTAATTCCGCATTATCATACGCCAAAGGAGCTCATAGCAATCCGAATGCGTTCCCGGTTACCGTGACTCGCCACCAAACATCCACCGTTCGCATACCATCTGAAACGTGTTTCCGTCCCGCAAAAATGGAGCAACCTCGCGCGGACAAATGATATTCAGACAACCGAGGCACTCCGCTTTATCTCAGAAAAAGAAACTACACCGTAGACCGATAGACCGGTGGCTGGACAGCTGTGTCCGCTGTTAGAGCGAGCTCGTGTCTCAAAGTTGCCAATCGGAGAACCAGTTTTTGGTCCGGGAACCGCGCGAGAGGTCGACGAATCGTTCGTGCCACGTAATCCCACAAAAATGTAAATATCATGTAACCCCGGAGGTCCACGAGGTCTTCGATGAAAGGATAATACGGAGCGGAACGACGCGTCCCTGGGATGACGTACCTGCTCGACGATCGGAATACCGATCGCTAATAGCGGCGTCGTTCACGAAATTATGAACGAAGGTCGTACGAAGAAATCCGGATCGATTTGGACTACTTGGCTCGTGAACTTCTGTTGACGGGAAGAGAAGTCTCTCAGCCGGAAGCAATCCGTTTCGGCTGGGAAACGGCGACGGGACCGGTGACATAACAGAAAACCGAAGCGCGACTGAGTTACCGTATAAATTATGTTAATGTCGGAGAATCCGCTGTGTAGGGGACACACGAGTCTAGCCACTTCCCTTTGCATCGCTCGGCGAGCACTTTTAAATTCAAATCGATCGTGCGTCGTTAGCTTAATAATGTTTGCCGAGGAATAGAGGGTTTATATGTTCTTCGCGGTATTCTTGGCGCAGATTAACGATCCGCGACCAATTGAGAATGCTTCAAGAGATTTTAGTAATAATCTGTCATCGGGGTACTGTTTGCCTGATAAAGTTCACTGGGAGGAACGTGGTACTTTGAGCGAAGATAATTTGCGAGTGACGGTCAGAATGTTGAAAAGTACATTAATGGAATTATTATTTTCTTTGTTTATTGATTCGATGGACTATGATTGAAGATAGACTGTAATGTGATCATTCAAATGTATTCTTTATTTAATTGTCTTAACGACAAACTGATGTCTCAAAGTTCGCATTGTTTTCTAGGTCGTCGCATCGTCTTCAATATTCCGCTCGCAATCCATGATGAACGGAATCGTTGTCGAATTTTTATGTAGGGTCTCCTTGGATTTTACGGTCTGGTTTTTCCCCGTTGACTTCGCACGAAAGTCTCGATGCGTTCTTGAAAATAATTAGAAATCGAATCCTCTCTCACCGGACTCCTCTTCGTAGAAGATGTTAGGTGCCGGAAAAAGTTCCACCGGTTTTCTTGGTAGCAATGAATCGAAGTCCGATTTCAATCGGTATTCCACTGGTTTAATGAATAAAATTGATAATAGCGGCAAGTTCTGTTTACACAGTTGGCATCGAAGGAAATAAAACTACTCGACAATAAGGTTCTCCGTGTTTAAAATTTAATTTCAAAACCCGTACGAACTTTCTTTGGTGCCTAACAAAATTGTAACCGTCGGGGAATTCAGAATAATTAATTTACTCCGAGTCCTTCGCCGTTAATATCGCAGCAATTTATATTAAGAACGAGAGCATCGATTAATCAGTCTTCAATTTACAATGTATTTCATCTTTATTACCGGAACTCTCAATGTTTTATCATCGCGATTCTTACGACGTCGAAGAGCTCGACTTATCGTAAAAGAACAAATTCAGCGGAATGCTCTCTTCATTTTTTGCGAGAGCTCTTGAACGTTCGCCGAAAACGCGGCTTTTAATTGAGTACTCGGTCCGCGCGGGAACGCACTTGATCCGCGCGGAAACACACTTGACGTACTGTTATCGATAGTTATCCGAGCGCGAGGTATTTTTAGTGAGCTTTCGAAAAGCTCGTTGTCGGGACCGCTGGACCACATCGCGGGAAACTATTTCCCGAGCGCGATTCTGGCGTGACGCGGCCGCGAACAATAACAGAACGAGTTCCTGCGGAAAAACACATTTCACGGTTGCAAGTAGCGTCACGCGATATCGGGTCGGGCCGAAGCGTTTGCGTGAAATTGGAAGCGAAAATAACTTTCATTCGGGAATCGTGTTCCACGGCCACGAGAAAATTGAACTGCTCCGCCAGGATGCAATAGAAATAGTGCGTAAACATCGAGCTGAAATTCTGCCTATGAAAACCTGCAACGAACACGATGAATATTAACGCGTTGACTGACATGAGAGACACCAACGTTTCGCGTGACGCTTGTTCCTTCTACAGTAAAGAAAAAAAAGAAGAATTGTTAATTACTCGATATCACAATTCTTACGTTACAATTTTATGCAGTTATTCGTGCGATTAAATATTTGAATTCGACATTAATTATCTTATAGGCTATTTTCTTGTAATTTTGAAGCTTCGATCACCGGTGACCACCGTGGCAGTCAATATAAACGCTCAACTACATTTCCAAATTACACAACGCGCAGAAATTCTTCGTATGACTTTCGTGTTTAGATGAAGTTCGATTCGTTGATATGCAAGGTGCTCGGGGAACTTTTAAACAGGAAACGGATTGTTTTTGTTATTCCTTTAAAAAAGTTCTTCGACTAGCACCTGTTACAACGGGAGAGAATATTTTTAGACGGTCGCGAGAAAGATGAATCCAAACGAAGTCCAGGAACTCCCGTGAGAGAAGTGCGGGATAAAAATGGAGTTCTGCAAACGATACAAGCTTCTGCACGTTCTGCCGAGACCCGGAAGGCGAATCGTTTGGTCGTGGCGAACGGAGAACGGGACGATCGTCAGGATCGCTGGGAACGATGCGTCGAACGACTGCCCGGTCGAGGTGGTTAACGTTTTCATCCCCGCGATCGCCATTTTGCTGGCGTTGATCGTCTTCTTTAAAGGCAGATGCGGCAGGAAACTTAAGTAAGCCTTTAAGACAATCTAACAGCGAAATCTCAATTTCACGAATCGAGAAAGGCCGTCGGAACTTTGTGAAACGGACAGATTCACCGATAGTTGAGATGTCGGCAAGAGAAAGCGATTAACTCAGTGAATGCTTCTAAATTTTGGTGCTAAGATACTTGAATGATTATTCAGTTGGATAATATCTTCAAATTTCTTTAATTTTCACTCTGTAGAGTTAAACACTTTGGCAACTAAATTGCGCAATTAAGATCAAAGGGATATTTCCAAAAGAAACTCCGTGAATGGAGGACTCCTCGAGGTGTGAAAATGTTCTATACAGTTCGTTCGATAATGAAACCGAAGGACGAGGAACGGGTTTTCCAATTTTCGAGACGACGCAACGTTTAACTGCCGAAATGGAACTCGGACGCGCGACTTTCGAAATTTCGTGGAGATTGGACCCCATTGTCCGCGGAGATAACGGCTTTTCGGGTTTAATTGACGCGAGCCGCGCGGATAATTCGTGGCGCGAGATTGAACGATGCGTCGGGGGATCTTCAGGGAATACCCGGTCCCAACTGGAGCGACATTCGATTAAACGAAATGTCTCACGTTCGCTTTGGGACACTCCATGATTCAGAGGACTGCGTTCTATTTAAACAATTTACTTCAATTAACGGGGTTCGGGCGTAGTTCGGAATTACCCACGCGCGATAGACGTGAGCGGAATAAGATAACCTTTTCGATTCGTAATTCGTGGACGGCCGACTGCCAACCGAAAGGCGGGCAACGTTTTCCCGGGATTCGACCTATTGTTTCACCTTCGTTAACCGGCGCGATAAAATTCTGCGATTCTCGGAAAGAATGTATAAATCATGAAGTGTTTACTCGTCGAACGAGTTTTAAACTTTGTTCGGCGTATTATCTTCCCCTGAAAGAACGAGGCACGACAGTACTGCCGGTTTCGTTCTTTAAACCTCGGCGAAGCACGCGAGAAAGAAAGATGGCGGATTGTTTGCGAACCGACATCGAGCTTTCCGGTATTTCTGGAAGACGTGGAAAAAAGCGGGCTGAACGAGCCGTGAGATAGGCGCTCGAGTCAATTAACAGGATAATTTACAACACGTGTCGGTGCGCACCCGCGTACGCATTCCTGACGCGCGTCACGCAGCCTTTTCGTGGAATCTTAATGGAACAAGATGGCCGCCCGGTTTGGTACCAACGTTCATCCGCGGGAAAATCAATGGCTGACGTTTCCTGTTCGCCCCTGTCTCGAATGCGATCGGATCTTCCGAACAAGCGCCTGATCTGAGTGTGCAATTAATTTGCTACGACTCTTGAAAGATAATCCTTATCGTTTCGGGTTGAAACAATGGATAATGACAAATTGGGATGATAGAACATTGAAAGAATAGTTATTTGAAAGGATAAAAAATCGGATGAACAGAAAATTGGAAGGACAGAAAATTCAAATTGTTTCTTCACGCGCGAAAGATTAGAAAAACGCGTGATCTAGAAATTGCTCATCGAATGAGGAAGATCGCGGTTATCAAAAAAATCGTCGCGTTTCTCCGCGATACGGTGAATTACGATGTCGTAATTCAAAGCATCCATTACGAAAGCGAACGGCAAGGCGCACGCTAGAATTCCCGCGAATTGGTAGAAAACCGCTCTGGAATAAGCGGAAGTTGTCAGGCGACAGCCGACGCACGATAAATTATCACACCTGCGGGGAGGAGGCTAATTAATTTTCTTCTAGAGTTCGACGGCCGTGTGAACGCCGTGAAAAAGTCACGATCCCGTTCCGTTTCGTGTTTCTGATTACCTGAGAAATTAATTCAACGATTTTTACCCCCGGGAAAATTGATAAACCAACGGGCAGCATTTGATCGATCGGTCCCGTTGTAATTGTGCTTTAATGGACGCGCGGTGATCGTTATACAAGCCGTGATTATCATACGGTTATTTCCACGATAATAAATTCTAATTGTAGAACACATATTCGATCATTCGCCGATATGAAACGCGAACACTTAATTATATTCTCGGTGATTATTGATTCGTGAAATTGAAGTTCCGCTAGTATGGAAAGGGTTTATGGTCAAGTTGTTACAAATCGCTATCCTTTTCTATCTGTTTTATTGCGTAGAGTATCTAGGGAGCTCCTCTCGTTTCACACGATCAGGACACTGTTGTGCATGTTGATCTTGCTGGTCCTTTTCCTGGAGGTCTGCGAGTCCTTTCTGACGACCACATCCTTGTCGTCCATTTTCACGATTTTAGCGGTCCTCTGCTGCTGGATCCTTCATCGGCAAACAGAAATCAACGGAGGCTACGGGATCGCCTTTTCGGCGGGAATCTTCGCCGCCATTGGCTTGGCGCGAGCTTGGAAATGCACATACTTATCTGGGTCAGTAAAAGAGTAATCAAGTAACAGAGAAAACAAGAAATTCTCGAACCAGTGAATTTACAAATAACACGTTCACCTCTGTACAAGAATATTCTCGGTTTAGATACGGTTTATCCATCGGACACGTTCGGTTGACGACCGGCGCGGCGTCCGCCATTTTGTGCGGCTCCTTCGCCGTTCTGGATTCCTACACGTTCTATCTGACGGTGAGTATCCTTGATTAACATCTCAATCACGCGGTGAAACCTTATCAACGGGATTCCGTTAATACAAAAATATTCGAAGCATGTATGATCCCATCAGAGCGAAATGAAAAAATTGAAATTAATATTTTTCACGTAGCGTTCCGCTTTTCCGCGTTCAAGGAATTAGAAGCAGCTCTAATCTGAATTTACGACTGTCTCACGGTTCTCGGAACCACCTTACGGGAAGTATCCGACTGGGGAATTAACGGCGTAGCGCTACAACCTTATCGAGAAGAGCCAGCTACGGCCGGTAACCGAGCGCAAACATTTGTTTTACATTTGCTCAGCTTGTTTGAATAATAATGTTTATTATCGCCGCGCGGCGAGAGAGTCGGCTCTTATCGGATGGGTAACGTTACTTTTCCTCCGACGCCGCGCTCTAAACTAGATCACAAAAATAGATGTGGCATTCATTTGTGCCGCTTCGCGGAAATAAGACCAGGAGCGTTTACCGATGCGACTTAATTCGAACTGAGCTCCCCTCGCTTAATCTTGGAGAGGCATTATCTTTTGCAAACATTTACTTTGAATGTTCCGTAGCTGAATGTTCCTTCGCGAAAACGGTCGGCCAATCGTCTTCGCTAATCGACAAACGTTCAAATTACGGCGCTGTTTAATTCGGTGTGAAGCGATCAACGATAAAAGGCAAATCGTAAAGAACAAACGAATAAGTTATTTTTTTCGGTGACAAATAGACTGACAAACACGAGTGCACAAAATACGAAACGCAGAAGTATGTTTTCCTTCTACCTCACGTTTAACTAATTAAGATTCTCGAGAGAAGCAATCAGCTTCCACCGAAACGTTGTTTCCCTACGTCCAGTTTTCTAGTGACAAATGGTCGTAATACCGTTCTCTTGTTCCGAACGATCGACAAACGCCGCGAATAAGTCGATAATCCGATCACCGGTGGATTAAATAAATGAGTCAATCGGGAATGCGATTAAGCGCCGCTGAAAGGGTTGCATTCCAGCCGAGCCGAAGAAATCCGCTTCCCCGCGCGGTCGATCGATTCAATTAAGAAATTCCCGGCCGCTCGCGCCAACACGCGACACATCCACACCCCCAGCCCCCGTTCGCTGACGGTTTGAATTGGCCGGGAACCAGACAGCATATTTCACGTCTAATTATAATCGCGTTAAGAGCACGCCGCGCCGGCTCGAGCGTCTTCAACGGGGCCGGCGAACGCTTTCCCGTGATTCCAGGCCCGCGTATAGGTACGCACGCTCCGAATAAATATTTCACGTGCACGCTCGCTCCTTGACCCACTAAGAAGCGAGCCCGACTGCTGGAACGCGCAAACGGATCCCTCTAGCGCCGGGAATAACTCTATAATCGCCGATCCTCTCGCCGCAGACGAGACGCAGAAGAAGGTACTTGATCAGACAGGACTTGGACGGAGCGAGGACCGTTTACAGGCACTCCGGGGCGCCATTCATCAGCAGAATCACCTTCCACTGGGTGATCAATCTGTTGTCCAAGGGATACGCCGCTCCTTTGGAGTCCCAGGACCTCGGGGAACTGCCCGTCGAAGAGTCCGCTGCGCGACAGTTCGAGAAGTTCAGAAGGGTTTACGATCAGGAGAGGGTAAAAGAAATATATTAACCCTTTCCACTCGGAAGTTCTTTCCTAGAAATATGCAAGATTTTTCAGTGAGATATAAACGATATTCTTCGAAACTAACAAATGAGAAAACGTATATGAATTAAGAAACAAAGTTATTTTATTTCAATGTTTCACATATCGATGCATTATACAGAGCATAATGTTATATATAAGACGATAGTTTTGCTATATCGAATCTAGTGTTGACTGAGCGTCACCTCTCGAGCGCAAAGGGTTAACGGAATACTTGCTCGCGAAGAACGATAGTAAATTGAATCGCTCGTTGACTATCGGTTAGCTCCACTACTTAGATTTGTTAAGATTGTATCGCCAAAACACTAAATTAGCTCTTAATTTTCTATCTTTAAAGTAAATCTCGCCATTGGGTTTAGTGCCGTGGAAGAAAAATTCTTTTGGACACGGAAAGGTGACAATGATAGTAAAGATTACTTCAAGGGTGTACTATTTTATGTATTTTATGTTAGATTAAAGCTACACCCTTAGTAACGAAGTAAAAGTACATTTTACTAAGTTTATTCGACTTTCTATTTAAAGAGGAATTTTAAAAATGAATGTACAACACTGCATTGCTTTTCTCTACTTTCCGTTTCGTGAGGTTAACTGATTTGGCCAATGAGTGGCTCGATTGTTAGTAAACGATTAAATATTCTGAACACCACGAAGGGCAAAGCGAGATTGTCCCTTTGGCGATGTTTCTGGAAACGAGTATGGCTCCCGTTCGCTGTCGGGGGCTTGCTGAAGCTGCTGGGAGACGCGACCACCCTTGTCGGTCCGATGACCATTTCGAAAATCTTGGATTACGTGTCTGCGTCTCAAAACGGAACTGTTCATCGATATCATCGGGTATTTAACGCTCGTGGATCTCGTTCTCCGGCTATTCGCATCAGCGATCAAGAATTGAATGTTTCCAGAGCGCCATGACGTTCTCCGAGGTTCTCCAAAATGGCTACTTCCTCGCTCTGCTCGTGTTCGTGTTCGCGTTGCTGCAGAGCACTCTGAGCCAGGCCTCCACTCACGTGCTCTGCGTCGAAGGAATTCGTTTGAAAACTTCCCTTCAGGTATAGACTCGAACGTCGAGTCCTGAAGAGCTGCTCTAATTCGATACATTATGTGCCTAGGCGTTGTTGTACGACAAAGCGTTGCGCCTTTGCTCGTGGAGCATAGACGACGACTGCGAGAAAGACGGTGAGCAACAGAAGAGTCAACAGACCGCTGACATGGGGACCCTAACGAACCTCGTCTCCGAGGATGCTTATAATCTAATGAGTTTCTTCTGGATTGGGCATTACACTTGGGCCATACCGTTGAAGGTAAACAAAGATGCGTAGAATTTGTCAGTAATGATAGCTGATTCTTAGTTTCTTTAGATCTAATCTAAAATATAGTCTCTTTAGAATTAAAGTCTCTAGTCTGGGTACTAGACTGGATGAACTTAGATCTAATCTAAAATATAGTCTCTTTAGAATTAAAGACTTTAGTCTAGGTATTAGATTAGATGAACTTTTAATTTCTGATTCTAGATCACTGTCATCGTGTTCCTTCTCTACACGAAGCTAGGCATCAGTGCCATCATCGGCGCGCTTTGTTGCATTCTACTGGTTACCCCTATGCAATTGCTTCTTGGGAAGAAAATGTCGGAGAACTACAAGTCCATTACAGTACGTTCAACGCATCTATCTCGTCTTTCACTGTTGCAAATCTTGCCAACGAGGAGAATTGCTTTAGAATAGAAGCGATGCGAGGCTTCGTCTGGTCAACGAGGTGCTCCAGGGGATGAAGCTGGTGAAACTCCGAGCCTGGGAGGACATTTTCGAGAAGAAGATCAGAGGGACGAGGAACGAGGAGCTGAAGATGCTGGACAAAGACTCCTTCTATTGGACTCTCATCAGTAAATTCTATTTCTTACGTTAACCGAGGCATAACAACCTCTGAATTGATTCTCTTCATCGCTGCCAGATTTTCTCTCGCATGCTTCTTCGGTCCTCACCACGCTCTTCACGTTCGGAGCCTATTATTGGTTGGAGGATCGTAGTCTGGAAGCTGGCAACGTTTTCGCGAGTTTGGCCCTGTTCTCGCAGCTCACCGTGCCTCTTCTGATCTTTCCTGTGATGATACCTATCATCATCAATGCTATGGTAGGCTATCGATACATCATTGTGCAGTCGAAACGGAAAGAAACAATTCATTTCTCGTCTACAAATATATCATTTCATCAGTGTCCATTCATTCGCGCGGTTTCATTCAGGTGTCTACAACCAGAATGGAAGACTTCCTTCAGCTCCCAGAAATGGTGAACGTCCTGCCGGATCCCAGCGACGGCAGGTCCGACAACATCGACAACACGTCCTCGCGGACCAATTCCATGGACGAAAACACTGTGAGTATCCGAAAAGTATATCCCCTTGGAATTCGTCCCTGAACCTCTTCGAGTTCTTCAAGGCAGCATCGACGAAGGTGCACAGCGCAGCGACCTTCGGATCGTTAGACAACATCGAGGAGGACGAGGAGGACGGACAGTCCTGCGGTTTCAGGGAATACAACCCCGATATCGGCTCCTCTACGGACACAGTGTTCGAGAAAGATCCTGTGATTCCGGTACTCCGAATGGAGTCCTGCGTGTTCTCCTGGGGCTCCGAAGAAGGACAGCTGACGATCCGGGAGCTCAGCTTTCCTAGCGGTAATGAACTTCCTTGTTTCCGAAACAAATATTCGAGTGCTAATTCGCAGCTTCATGGAGTTCCTCGTTGAATCCTGGTTATATTCTATTCAGGTCAACTGACGATGATCGTTGGAAAGACGGGAAGTGGAAAGACCTCTCTGTTGTTAGGGATGTTAGGCGAGATCCAGAGAACCTCGGGAACCGTCGAATGGATCAAGTGAGTCCTCTCGATTACCAAAAATCGTGTTAAAACATAGCACCTGATAATTTATCATTAATCCTGTTGCAAAGTAGGGGATCGAGGATAACGTATGTAGCTCAGAGACCCTGGCTACTAAACGCTACCTTAAGGGACAACGTCCTTTTCGGCTCGGCTTACAAGCCGAGGAGGTATCGAAGCGTGTTGAAGGCTTGCGCGTTGTTGCCGGATGTCGAGATACTTCCTGGCCACGACTTCACGCGGATCGGCGAGAAGGGGATCAATTTGAGCGGAGGTCAAAAGCAGAGGGTTGCTATAGCTAGAGCGATTTACAGTGACGCGGACGTTGTTATCATGGTCGGTTCGCATGATTCGATGAAGTTTCTAAGGTGTCTATTCTGTAACGTCGAATGCTTGTAGGATGATCCTCTGTCCGCGTTGGATCACCAGGTTGGCCAGCAGATCTTCGATCAGGGAATCCGGAAGCTTCTTCTAAGAAGCGGGCGCACTGTGATCATGGTCACTCATCGGTTAGAATTGTTGTCCACTGCTCATCAAGTACGTCAACTCATTCTGCTTGAGACTTGAATACTTTAACACCTGGGAAATGATGCACCGTAAACATTCAGGTGATCGTGATGGACGACTGTCAAGTCAGAGCTACAGGCACGAAGGCTACCATCGAGAATTCGTATCCGGGCATTGCTAGTGAATGGAGGGAAGCTGCGACGAGACACCACGACGAACGTCGACCTCACAGACCTGCCAAGGACTGGTGGTCCCTGCTTAGACTGGTTTCTAGAATCGGCATCAACGTGAGGAGCAAACAAGCCACTGATGGCTCGTGGATCACTGAACAGGGAGCTCACGTAGTGAGTATTCAACGACAAATCACTCGTTAGTACCTATAGTGGCGTTCAAAAGTTCAGATCGTTTTTGGAACTTTTCTTATTCAATGAAGGCTTCAACACGAATTGAAGATTTTGAAGCCACCGAAGTCACTGTCTGACGCAACTGTTTCCCCTTAGAATCCACCGGTTTTCGTGCCGCTCAGAATGCAGAGAACCACCCTTTCCGGGTCGAGATACCTGGCCCCCGACCTCACGGACCTCCCAGTGTCCACGGAGGAGTGGAACGTCGCGAAAAAGCAATCGAAGTCCCATCGAAACGCCGCTAGGTCGAGCAGTCTACAGCCGCAAAGGCGACCACCGCCCGTCCTCCGTCAAAGTAGCACTCCAACGATGCTCGAGAGCGGAAACATTATACCTAGGTAGTCGGTAGCTAACGTCCTATACTCTTTTCGTGTTGGATCAGCTTTGATGGCACTTGATGTTTCAGGAAGAGGAACAACACGTTCGTTGGGGAACAGACAAGTGGTGTATTCAGGCAGATATTCTCTGGCAGGTTCGTTCTCTTCCAACTATTCGACTGGAGTTTAAAGAATACAATAGGATTTATTTAACCCTTCTGTCCTAGAATTGTCAGTCCACACCCTGACGAAATGAACAGAGACAAGAGCGTTCTCCGTAGGTTGATGCCGTCCAATTCTAGCAAACAGATGCAGTACAACATCAAAAGGTATAGGATTCGCCGTCCCCAAAGAATCATTGAGAATCCTTCCTCTGTCTCCTCTGAAGCTAGACGAATTTTGTTTAGATCCAATCGAATACAAGAGGACAATCACCTCCCAGTGGAAAGATTAATATCAGTGGAATCCAAGGGAACCGCGGATACCAGTGACACCGAAGAAAGTTGGTCCACTTCGATCAGTTCGGTTCGAGGATAGATTAGATGACGATGGAAGGCTGTTTGTTACAGAGTGCTACGATGTAGAGGACCACGATGAATCCCTTTACGAAGACAATAGCGGAATGGTCACTAGAATGATTTGCATGGATTACTCGAAAGCTGGGGGATGGATACCTGGCCTGATTTACGTGGGCATGGCAATTCTCTGTCAGATCGTCCGCGTGTACACGGACCTCTGGCTCAGCCGATGGACGGACCAGGAAAGGGACACTTGGACTCGTGGAGAGCAAAACATGGTCTATATACCTCATTTTCTCTGTTTGTAAATAACACAATCTCCAACGAGAATAAGATACAAAAAACATTTGAAAAGTTCGCTACCAATGAAAGCTTGCAACCTTTAATTTGGAATTACTTCGATCTTTCAATATGGTCTCTCATAATCTTAATACATGTTAGTACATTCAAATTCCAGACGTGGTTCTACTTCAGGGTCTACCTGATCCTCTCCGCAGCCTCCATACTTCTCTCTTTCGCGTGCAATGCAGTTGGACAATGGACAGGAGCTAGAGCGAGAAGAAAACTCCACGAAGAAGCGATCTGCAGGCTTCTAAGAGTACCTCTGTCGTTTTTCGAGTGCAATCCCGTGGGGAAAATTTTGAACAGATTCAGCGCTGACATAGGTGTCATCGATAAGGTTTGCATTAGAAGTAATTAACCCCTTGCCTTATAATAACGTGTAAAACTTATGAAGATTTTAAACAGAATTTAGGAAGCATAAATATTGCTCAGTTCTTTTGAATTCGAATGAAATGTTCTTCCGTTATCAGTTGCACTTCAGAGTAAACATGAATATAGGATACACCTAGAATCTGTCGTTTTCTCGATAAATTATTAATTATTAATAGGAAAGTAGTTGTGTCGATCACAGTTGAGAAGAAGAGCATAGGGCAAGGGGTTACAGGTATTCAGAATGGGACACTGTAAGAATCGAATGGGATTTCTCTTGAAGAAAATATCCACGTCGATCCAAAGGCTGACCTTCTTCGTTCTGCTGTGCGGTTCGGCGATGACAGTGAACGTGATCATTTCGCCGTGGTTTCTCGTCGCTGCTCTGCCAACTTGCGCCGTCTACTATCTCGTCCAAAGGTTCTACAGGCGAAGCGCGAGGCATCTGCAGCGTCTGGACGGCAGGTACCTCGTAAATTTTTGCGAATCGCGGCGCAGAGTAAATTAACCGGTCCAAGTCACCGATTTACCCACAGCGTACACACGTTTTGCATATCTCGGAACGCTTCGCGACACGTTTCGGGGAGTTACAAGAAAGTTACGCGCGTTTCAGACCGTAATTAACACTTTCCAGTACTCGTTGGCCAATCGCGACTCACTTCTCGGAAACCCTGAGCGGCCTCGCCACGTTGAGAGCATCGAAGCAAGAGAATCGATTCATGGCCCAGGCTACGAAGTGCTTGGACACCAACACGAACGCTTTTCTGCTGTTGAACGCGAGCAGTCGGTGGTTGGGGATCGCTTTAGTAAGGAAACCGGCAGGATTATTGATCTTTTCATTGATGCACTATTATAGAAAGCGATTGGCAAGCTACAGTTATCCTAGAATATAGTTCGCGACGAAGGAACTAAGCTTAGGCGATCACTTTGAAGTTTAGTTACTCAAATCACGTTTTAGATCGTCCAATTGACTTGCAGGATTATTTGGGCGCCATTATAGTGGTCACGGCAACGTTCGCCGCGTTAATATCCGCAGAGCTCTATCCAAACCGGGTGACACCTGCTCTAGTCGGTCTGGCGATTAATTACACTCTCCTGGTGCCAATTTATTTGAACTGGGTGGTGAAATTCACCGCGGAGATCGAGATGTACATGGGCAGCGTTGCCAGGATATCCGCTTACAGTCACGCAGACATTGAGAATTATCAAGAGGAAGGTAGCTAAACATTCCTGTGATCATTCCTGAAAACATTCATTTCATTTCACAAGTGTTTCTCGTCAAGCATCCAATTTCCTTCAGGATTCCAAGTGCCCGAAGACTGGCCAAGCAAAGGCGAAATCGTCTTCGATAACGTTTCATTGATGTATTACTCGCAAAGAGAACCGGTGATTACTAATTTGACTTTAAAGATTCCTGCAGGCCAAAAGGTAAAACTAGCAACAAAGAAAATCCTCGTTTTATGAGACAATCACGCGAACATTTCGCATAGATCGGCGTTTGCGGGAGAACCGGAAGCGGCAAGTCCTCCACAATGATGTCCCTCTTTCGATTAGTGGAAATCATTGAAGGTACAGTTTTGATCGACGGAGTGGACATTCGCCAGGTGCCTTTGAGGCTGCTCCGCTCACGACTTTCAGCGATTCCTCAGGATGTGATCATGTTCGGTGGTACCATTCGGTAATTCTTCGCCAACTTTCTTCCTCATTTTCGCTTTCACAACATTGAAATTACGAATAAAACAACGGTCGTTAGGGAGAACTTGGATCCACTTTCCGAGCACGAGGACCAAGAACTTTGGACCGCGTTGGAGGTGGCGCAGATTAAGGACACGGTAGCTGCACACCCTGAAGGACTCAGTAAGGAGATAATGAACATTTTTAAGTAATTCGCATCGTTAGCTTATATATACGTCTTTAAACAAACTTGCGAATGAAAAGTTCGTCTATATTACCATATTGTTATATTATCAACCCCTTGTCCTGCAATATCGTGTCAGACTCGTGATGAAGATTTCAAACAGAATGTAACAAGTATAAATATTATTCAATTTGTTTGAAGGAAAATTGCATATTATTCCTCTGTTATCAATGATTGTACTTTAGAGTAAACGTTAACACGAAAAATGCTTATAATTTTTATCTTATTTTCCATAAATCTTGTAATAACAAAGTATTTATATAGATCATAGTTCAGAAAGAAATCAAGGGGTTAATACATTCTATATTATTGTGTTTATGATCTCGTATTACATCTAAATAACAATAAAAACAAAAGAATATCCGATGCAAATGGGTTAAACGGTCTCGATATGGAATAACATCAATTTTTCACTAAAACAGGCTTCGAGGTGCGAGAAGGTGGGGAAAATTTCTCTTCGGGGCAGCTGCAGTTGCTCTGCATGGCCCGCGCGATGCTCCGGAAGTCCTCGATCGTCGTTCTCGACGAGGCGACCAGCGCGCTCGACGCGGCCACCGAGAAGTCACTGCTGAAAACGGTTTCGACCGCTTTCGAGAACCGAACGGTGATCGTTATCGCGGTAATGCCAGCTTGCACCGCTTTATCTAACCGAATGGAGCAAACATAACGAGTTACTTTCGATTTCCAGCACCGGGCGGCCGCTCTGCTCGATTGCGACCGAATAATCGTCTTCCACGAGGGGAGGATCGTCGAAGAAGGCTCGCCAATGGAACTGTCGAGGCAACGAGACGGATTCTTCGCGAATATGCTGAAATCCAGCAAACGCAAAGAAGAAGAAAGCACTCGCTAAAAGCGAAACGTCACGGGACAATTAGAAAGACTGGTTTCGAACCCCATCGTGCCAAGTATTTATTTTTGATAAGGAAGATAAACAGAGAGTACGCACCGGGACTCGTCGAATTACTTTTGTAACGCATTAAAAATGGTCGTTGATCGACCGCAAATGTATTCTTTCATACTCCGTCTACACTGTGTGATTAATCTGTCGATTACAATCGACTCTACCCAATTTCTCCATTCGTCTTAGATAATCTATCCGATTCGTAGAGTAACTCGAGGGAAACAGCCATATTACCATTAGAACAATTTCAATGAAAACTAAACTGGAACACATGATTTTATGTGTAAGTAAACTTTACCTTGAAAAGTAATCAACTAGAATTAAAATCGCTGATGAAACATCAACTGTAATTGTATAAGTTGATGTAAAACATCAACTGAAGTTACCCTATATAAAAGTAATGGAAGAAAGGGGAAATCCTCAGAGTTATCGTGTACAGCTCAGAAGACCACTCAAGGGGCAAACACTCGTCGAGGAAGAGTAGATCGCAATCGGCCTCGATAATCTAGCCAAAAAGAGTCCAATGGAAATGTACTTTCCGGTCCCCGTTTAGGTGATTGCCTATCGATCGCGGCGAGTCCACGTGTAGACCGGCGAATGCGTAACGTCGCGGCGGCGGTAGCGACCGTTGGACAAGGTGCCAAACGATAATAATTACCAATACCCCCACGGCGATCTGTATAACGTACGCCGCGATGGAAAACGTGCGCCCGTTTTTCTGCCAGTGGCATTGAGACCGGCCTGTCGATAGGACGCGCGTGTCCGCGAGCGAAAGTCCACCGAATTCGCGGCCCGTACGTCGACGGTCTATCGCTTGGCTCGTCTTCGAGTCCTCGGGATGCCACTCGGAACGTTTGATCTTCGTTTGAACGATGTAACATCGAGATCCTCGTGACGAGCGACGTTATCCACGAAAAACGCGAGTGCACGTTCGCAAGAAAATGAAAGCGTCCCGCCGGCTCTGAACTCCTCCACGAGAATCGGCTTTCTAATTGTCGTGAGTAATCGATGGGATTGTGTGATTAGTAACGGATGATGAATCTCGAAAGTGGACTCGCCACCCGGACAGTTTTCTAGCACCAGGAAGAAGATTGCCGTGCCCCAGGAAATTTTCCTTTTCAAGCGGGTTTCGAAACCCCTCCGACTAAGGACTCTCCAGCGTGAGTACTTCCGGTGTTCGTGGTGTCAGCGTTCTTTCAGCTCTTCTGTGATAGTGATCGACGATCGATTCGGTGAATTATTTGGGGCATTTTCTATCATGCTTGTACATTGTGTTCGGTTCTTTTTCTTGAGGAACATCGTCGTTGACACTTTGCGGATGAGTATTGTTCTATTAAGTTTATCAAACATCAGGTTTGTCATCAACCGAAGAATTTAATTGTGTGAACAACACAAGATTAGTACGTAATTTCCTTATTGTCTAGTATTTAAGAGTTCGTATCTACTTTGGTTTTCCATGGAAAATTTCTTCTAACGCTTTTATTATAACAATCCTCGTCTGCAAAGGGTTAATCTCACGAATGCAACTCTTTACTCGCGACTCTGTTTGAGATTATCACTTGGATTCTTCGATTTACCATCAGAGAACCTTCGCTACACTTTTCGTTGACACTCCACGGTGTTCACCGTGCACGAGTTCGTGGTGCACCGCGTCGAAAGTTGGACGATTCTGTGGCGGTTACGCGAGGTCGTTAAAAAAGCGGCTCGGTCACAGCCCGAGCCGGTGCTGACAGGTCCGTGAACGGTAAAAAACGGGAACGTTCAATCAACGAGCTACGATAATGGCATCGAAGGCGATAAGAGGCGGCCGGCTACGATAAGAAAATAGGAAATAGGAGAACCGAGTGCTTCCCCGTCTTCCACCGTTCGCGACCGTAATAAAAAATAGGCGTTAAACGATGAGTCAATCGGTCGGCGCCACAACAATTTTCCATTATAAATGATCAATTAAAGGCCGCTCTCTGCGATTGTTTCCATCACTGGAATTCCAGAGTACATACTTCGGTTTTTACGACGTGAGTCAGTCGCCCGATATATGCTCGTCGCTTTGATTATATTTGTCGATCGTCTATCATCGTCGGAACTCGAAGATCGATCGACAAGCCGTTGCGTTGTAATCCTTCGAATGAGGATTCTTTAAAATATTGGAAACCTATCCTCCAACAAATATTAGGAACACCGTAAAGGTAGGAAGTAATCGATCCATCTATTCAAATAGCTGAACTGTTCACACTTGTAAGTGAAGTCCGGTATCGCGGGTGTGACGACACTCGAAGACCCGTACTTCGTAAATTACCGCGAAAGCTTCACGTTACGTCCAAAGATAATAGAACGGACCGGTTCAAGGTGTACTCCAGGCGTGATAAAGAGGATACCGCGTGAAGTCACCGTTACGAGGTCGATTTCGGAATGCGAGAGCGGCCTTGAGACCGTCGAAGGATTATTAACGCGAAACATCGTATCCTCGGATCGCGATACCGATGCTCGACGATTCAAAACGTCGATTATTTCTGTTTCCTCGCAACGGTAGAATGAAAAACGCATTGAAAGGAATTCTCAGACGAACGGTTTTCCTTCCAGCTGCAATTACAACGGCCGCGGAGGCGCACGTCCGCCGACCCGTTTAATGAAAGGAGAATAGGACTCGTTAGATAAGACGTCGGAACGTGCGTGTACCTGACTGTTGACACTGCGTCTCTTTGTTATCGGATAGATAAGATTTCTGCGTCTTTGTCGAACTTGAAGTCTCAGTTTTCCGCGCGAATTCACGGAGTGCAGCTCAACGGAGCGCGGAAAACTGCACTCTCGCCTCGCGTACCTCTCTCCATCCGCGATCCCAGTGAATAATCCTCGTTAGCAGGAACGTTTAACGCCAATTAATCCGCTTCTCCGGCATCCAATCTGAAAGGTGAGTCTGCGAAAACCGCTCCACCCGTCGCGCTCGCGCTCGCAGTTTATCGAAAGACCGAAAATTCTCGAAGGAAATATGCTCGCCGGTCCTCCGTCTGCTTATCTCCGCCATCTAATCGATCGTCGGAAGCCATGGTCTCGGCTCAAATAAAATCGAGATGATAACTGGTTGCGATCGAACTGCATTTCTACTGGAGAACGACTGCGTTCGTCGATTAAGTAATCCCATTGTGCAATTGCAGTATTGCGCGATGGTCTTCCGTTGTTTCAGTGGAAACCAGCCCAAACGCGGCGTTTCAAACGATCCGTCGCACCGGTGGGAACGTCTTCCCTCCGCGGCTCGCAGCTTTCGGCCGAATTCGACCGTGATAAAGCGATCCGGGGTGTAAATAAGGCAATTAGCGCGAGGTAGAGCCGCGATAACGAAACGAAAATATTGGCGGAGAGCGAAAATAGTCGTGTACACTGCTCCGCCGGGTAGACGTCTTCCAAGAGAACGCAACGATCACGTCGCTCGGGACCACGTGTACCGTCGATCACGCGATGGGGTTAACACGCTGATTGCCACGGTGGTCATCGAATGAAAATATTCAGTATTACGAATAACTAGATGATAGTATATAAACCGTATGGATTGCGGTACCAAATGATTGGTAATTGTTTCCTTCTGTCTTTGCTACAAAAGAATAAGTGATTGATCGAACGGTGCAGCTTTTCTGTGGCGGTCAACGTGTTGATTACGTTCACTCTCCTACAGCTGATTAAACGCGGCGCGCGTATGTTTCCTCGACGGTTCGAGCGTCGTTTCGGTTGTTCGCGATCTGAAAAATTCGTTCCACGACCGTGAAGGAACGGTACGCTTCAGGTGAAACACATTTGGTTTCGGCATCTGTAGAACCAGGTTGACGGCTGACGGATACGATCTCGATTTTTGAATTGCCGACTTGTCGAACGAACCGCTTCGATTTCGTTGCTGATCTCCATGGGCGCTGGCTCGACCGATCAACGTGTTAAATGCAGAATGATCGGAACGCAAACACCGGTGAACGCTCCGTGCGCGCGTTAATTGATGATCGTTGCGACGCGTCTCGTGAGAGTGAGTATTTCAGACGAAAATAGGAGGAATCGGTTGATCTTCGGGTATGCTCGGAATGCTTGAGAATATTGGAATAAATGGAAGCGTTGATTAGTTATGCGCTAGGAGGATGCGAGTGTTCTTCAGAAAGATTGACGCGTTGTCGAGAAGGTAAAATTTACTTTTTTTAATTTTTCGATAAGGAGTACACGTAATAACAGGCGCGAATGGTCAAAGAGAAGCGCGACAATCCTATCGCGAAATCTAAATTCTGTTGAAGCGCACTATCGAATTTCCTGGTAAACGTCGTTCGCTGTAAGAAATGCTGCAGATTAGAATTATTATCGTTCCAGTGATCCGGCAAAGGTGAAAGATTTCTCGTTCACTTAATAGGCAACGGCGATGGCGACGATAATAGGCTGAAAAGAACGTCGCTCGGTTAATTCGTCGCAATCGCCGGGCAGGATGATTTCAGCAACGGTGCGCGCGCGCGTTCCGCCATTGTGCAACGAAAATTACGAAACGCGTCGCGCGCGTTGCAAAGGAGCATCCTCGTGGTTACGTAAAGGAAAAAGAAATAGATGGGGAAAGGTTTCAACGAGGAAAGAGATGAAAAGGGGCGGTCGCTAAGTTTTTGGAGTTTGTTTGTCAATAACTATTCAGTGAAAACTTCTGATCTTACCTTTGTGCATAATTGTAACCTTCTAATTTATATTTTTTCTAAGCCGGAACGGTACAAAATGGCGCAGTTATTCGCTAGCTTCGGAACCCCTTTTCGTATCACATCCATTGTTGGCCGACACGATTACAAACAACTGAAATATCCGAAGACAAAAGATTCAGTGGATTCACGAACAGAAATATATTATCTAAAATGTAGTGTTAGATCCGATTGCGACGGAAGGCAACGATTTTCCGGTATGTTGCCGCTCCGCTCGTCACCGTCTCGGACGCCGCGCGTCTTTGTCTGCGAGCAGATCGTTATCCTGGATGATTATTAGGACATTACTGCTGCGAATTCCGGGAATTAGAACCGGAAAGTGAAGACGCGAGGTGCTTAGACTGTCAAGAGAAGAAATAAAATCTCGTGAGGATAACTCGATTTGTCTTGCGCGTTTGCATTTGAAGGATGAAAGTGTAAAGTAATTATCAACGTCCATGCGATTATATTTGCGTTTGAATATTCATTTATTCTCAATGAAAAGGACTGGCCGTCCGATAATATTAAAGACTCCAAGCTTTTATCCTTGGAGTCTCCTGGAAAACATTTTCTAGAAGTTCCGCGTGGCACTACTGCAATTTACGCAAACAAGTGCGTTACAAACAAGATTTAGGGAGATCCTACTCGCGATGGTTAATCAAACATCCTTATCACTGTTTTAACACTGTAGAAACTGAGTCAGTTGTCCGTAATAAATGGAGATTAATCGCGGAACGTTCCGAATATACACGAATTTCGAGCGTAAAACTGAAAGTTGATTAAAGCTCGAAGACAGTTTAAAGAACTCGCTTCTGTCTCATTTGAAACGAATCCTACGAACAAAAAGAACTTTTCAAGGACTAAATCGAGAATTCTCCGGCAAAAGACAGATACCAATCCGCTTTGCGCTACAAGAAACTAAAAAACACCCAGAATTCCTTACCGACACTGAACTCGCGAAGATGAGCAAAGAAATCGCGATATCATTTTCGCTCACGATAAGATCGATTCCGTTTCTCCGTTAACTCGGCGCGCGGTTCGGCTGATGGTTGACGTTCGCAACGAACCGCTTGAAAATAATCAGACCGAATTACGTAAGGAAGCTTGAATCAATAAATTATACCGATAAATTTCAAAATAAATCAATCTAT